TTGACAATCCACTGGACAAATCTGTTATAAATCTACCTCATATAAAAATTGCAAAATAGGGGTCGAAATTTAATTTTTTTTGTATTTACTATTCCGTCTGAAAATCCACTATTCCTTAATGTAATGTTTCTGAGAGCCCGTTCATGCAGGGTCCGCGCTAATGTTCTGATTTTCGTGAAATCATCCTTGACCTTGACTGACTCCTAAAGTGAACGGAATAATTGAATAACAAAAAATAAACATGTACAGTGGATTGCTCTGTACAGTGATGAACAAATTATTAACAAGAAACAAAGTTCAAACACTGAACTGAACTTGCGCACTTTGTTGCGAAGTTCGCGCCCAATTTCCGAACTTGGAAACGTAATTGGCAAGTTCGCAACGGGAACCGCGCGTTGAAAAGTGACTTGAAATCAACAATAATATTGCTGCAAATAAATTAGAATATGCAAGTATTGCAAGCGAACAAGAACTTACAGTAGCTACGAAGTGGAACAGTGGCTCAAAGTCCAGTATAAAGTGATATATTATGCAAGAGGAAAACCCTTGCTTGTCGACCACAATTTTTCTACTATACAAACGGAATACTGTGATCATGAAGTTTACTATTCCGTCAGGCATTTTAGTATATTTCAGAATAACGGAATAGCGGGAATTTCGACCCTTGTAAAAGCATTTTTTTGCTGCTGTCAATCTTATTAAGTGTCACTAATTCCCAGTGCTGGAAACACTCTCCTCTTTCATTCATACCACCACCATTTGGACTTACTTTTCATGAAGTTTGATCACTCTATGTACAATAGGAATTTCTCTGCCTTTCACTTTAAACACGACAATTTCTCCAACTCGAATGGGATCTTCTTTGTAGTTTGTTAGAAATAACAGATCTCCTCTTTGAAATGCCGGTTCCATACTACCACTGTAAAAACATATAAGTATATAACACAATTTACAGCTGTGACATCGGTGGCATAGACATGGTGCTGTTCACATCAATGGCATAGCCACAGGGGGTCTACCACTCTACCCCCTAATCAAGTTGTTCAGGACAACCTTTGAGATACTGGTGCAGCATGTTAAAATCTGGTGAGAAATGTTAGGGGCGACATGTGTCGAGAATAGTTTGCTGGGATTTAATTATTTCTTAGAGAATTTGTAAGAACTTTTTCTAAAGCTAAGAAGAGGCCTCAGATATCACACTTTTCTGAGAGGAATGCGTCCAGATGCCAAGCTCATGCCTTTAGTGTAATAGGGCGTAAAAAAATACCTGTGGTTCCGGTTTCATATCATGAAAAAATTAGGGTCGGTAGTTTGGAAATAAATTTTTTTTGAATGTTTTTTCATGGTTTTGGCAGTTTTTTGCTGAGCGATTTGCAGTAGAGTCCCGACATCAATATTAACTAGAGATGCGTATTTCTTATGGATGAATTTAGGCAATTTGGTTCAATAATTAGTGTGACAACATTTTGGCATGTTGTATGAGCAGCCCGCAACCACCTGGAGAAAATAGGGTCGCATGGTCAATCGCGTTGAAAAAATAATAGGGTCGGCAGAAAAAAATATGGTCAGTCGGGAACCGGAACCACAAGACTAGTATTTTTTTACGCCTAGTGTTTGTTAAACTCCCAACAATTTCTATATTTCTCTTCCTGGCAGCAAAAGGCAAAATAAAAATTTCCTGTGTAAATCAAATGTAAAACTTTCTGCATATATGTAGATTTCAGACAAGGCAATCTCGATTTGCAAAACACAAGCCAGGATACAGTTGGATCATCCCAGAAAAGATCAAGACTCCACTATGGAGGAAATTTCTGTCATCTGGAAGGGGAGGGCACTTTTTCAATAGCAAATTCTGCTACATGTAGGATGTCTATGGTACAATCTATGTGTGAATTTGATAATCTAAACAGTTAATATTATGCTAGCTGACAAATGATGACCATACCTTAGCACAACAACAATTGGACTCTCACTTCCTGTTACAACCATCAAACCTTTCCAGATCATAAGAGCAGATGACACTATCATGCCAAAGTTTAACACTTGATAATACAGCTAAAAATAATTCACAGAATTAGAGGTGCACAGGATAGAGCATTTTTACTATCCAGCCAGATACCAGATACAGTACTGCCAAGAAATAACTTAACCCCACGTCTGCCTGCGTCCTGCCCCAGACAGAGTGCCCGCGTCTTGCGTCCACTCTGCACATGGCCGTGTCCTGCTGCCAAAGCGCCTGCGTCCAGCCTCCAGCTTAAAACTGCATCCGCTTGGATGCAGTTGTCGTAACATGATCGGAAAAACGAACTAATATTTGCAGACATAAAGTATTGCAGACATAAACTAATATTTATAGATATAAACTATATACTGTAAGTATAATATAAACACATATGAACTTAGTAATATCACAACTACAACAAGTATGTTGGTTTTTTCGAAAAAGATAAAACCTCGTTTTAACCGGCAACGTTAAAAGAATACTGGGTTCAAACCAAACGTTGTCCGAAGGTGCGAAAGTAGAGGTGAACTACGAAAAGGAACTTTACGAAGCACAAATTCCGAAATATTAGAACTATAAATCGTGTTATTACACTTTTATCGCTTTATTCGCTTAAACATTGTCCGGAATAACATTTAGTAAAAACATGAGAACTGCATGATGCTATTGTCTATATTTGAGGAGTGTAAATCAATAATACATATACATTATCATAAGATATGAATTGGGTCATTCCAGAAAAGATCCATACTCCCCCCACGGAGGAAATTTCTGCTGTCCGGAGGGGGAGGGGAGACAAAATTGTTTCTGATAATAGTAAATGTATTAGGACATCACAAGGGGGTAGGGGGGTTAACTTCCAATTTCCTCCGTGGGGGTGGTATGAATGTTTTCTGGAATGACCCATTGATTTTTTCATTGGTGAATCGAGATGATCCTAATGATTTTGAAACCCAGCGTAAGCTAGATGCAATGCGAGAAAGGCAAGATGAGCCAGAAGCGGAGTCTCGAAAAGATTCAGGTAAGCGCAAAGCCAAAGACCACAATGGCAGATAAAAAAGACGGGTCTGACAAGGAAAATATTTCCCCGCTAAAGAGTGTATGAAAACCTAGTGTGAAATCGTTAACATGAAATATTTTCCGATGTCCATGGTTTGTTTATGAAAAGTGGAACGTGATAATTTCCAACGATCTACGAAGAGAACTCTTTCTCATGCAGCTGCGTCCTTGCCCACAAGCTGCGTCCTCGCCCGCAGATGCAAAGCGGACGCATGACACATGCACAGTGGACGCACCCGCAAACGCACAGTGGACGCACGGCGCCCGCAGGTCGGATGCACCCACGGGTGCAAGTGGACGCAACGTACCCGCGTCTTGGACGAGGTTTTGATAAGTTATATCTCTTCGCAGTACTGTATACTGGTCAATAGATCAATTAATTAAATTAAGAAGAAAAACTTGTTGTTGCTAATTTAGAAGTTGCCGGCTAGTGCTGTGAAAATGGCGGCAACAACCGGCTGCGATCTTAAACCCCGAGTGATTTTTCCAAAGAATCAAATTGCACTCGTCCTTATATTTTTTTTCAGCCTTATGCAATTTCAGTTGTCTTTGAAAAATTCACTTGTGCATGTTTTTCTAAAATTTCCAAATTGCACTCGAAACCATACAATTACTTAAATTGAGTTCATGTGCACACAGCTGCCTCTCAATAGATGACAGGACATAAATGCTACTAACAACGCATAAAAATATGTATATTTTGTGGTTTTTATGAAAATGCACAGGTAGCAATTCAGGTGAAAATTCTGCATGGGGAGCGATGAGCTTAACTGCTTAAAATACAGTTTTCAAAACACAGGTGTCACACATACACAATAGAGGGCCCCCTATACCTCTTCACAATATGCTTTCACATAAAAATATTTTGCCTTTTCACGAGTCACGGATTAAGAAAATTATCGATCACGTTTCACGGCTAAGTAAAATAAGCCCTTCACGCTTCACGCAAAACGTATAGGGGGCCCGATCACGTTTCACGGCGAAGTAAAATAAGCCCTTTACGCTTCACGCAAAAAGTATAGGGGGCCCTCACAATAGGGGGGTAGGGTACGGGGGATAACTTCCAATTTTCTCTTGGAATTCCTCAGAGATGGGTGCTTTGAGCTTGGATTTCCTCAAGGGTAAGCTTGGCATTTGTCAGAGGTATAACTTTGAGAAACATGACAGGGGGTGTGTGGATATTCAATGGAATAAGCCCCATGCAAACAGCAAACAAAATCAACACGGATTAAAACGCACTACACACCGATCATTGATTAAATATGTTTTTGCTAATCTGACTACCACACTACAAACGATGATGGTTTATTATAATATTTACACATACCTTTGACTTCTATATATATAATATAATATATAGAACATGCTGTCAAAGAATAAATAAACAATAAACTTGGTCAAACATGCAAGGGACACGTTGCATTAAAAGTCAAAATTCGCTTGTAGAACACAGCAAAATTGACGACACAACTAACTCTGCTTACCTGCCGTTTGTTCATACGCCTAACATCGTCAAACCAAGCTGCAATTGTATCCATGATTTTTGGAAAAAAGTTGTTAATTTTACTGCAGTTCTGTTTTGTTTTGAAGGCTTGAAGCACGTTTTTCGCCTGACGTGTTATACGCATAATGAAGTGGGTGTACTCCGCCGACCGAAAATAATTGAGGACGCTTGCAGTGCTCTCACTATTTGTGAATTATCCTTAAAAATAGGAATTTTGAAGACTTTTAACGATTTTTTTTAAAGATTTTTTTAATCAAACTGAAAAACTGAAAAATAGCAAAAAAAGGAGAAAAAACACTTTTTGCAACTATGTGACCAGGCCTTGTAGTAATTTTAATAATTAGTGAAAGGAATTTTAAGGAAGTCTGAGGAATTTTCGAGCTTTTTCGAAGGATTGAAGGAATTCGAAAATATGATTCTGATTTGTGAGAGCGTCGGTTGGCCATGTGCGTTGTTGCCGTATGCCACATTTTGCTGTTTTTTATGCCAAAATAACTCGGCTATAAGAAAAATATTATAAAGTTTTAGAAAGCAAAGGTTCAAGGGTTCAATTAGGTGACATTTTTCAACGAAGTTTCGCCGCATGAGCGACGGTGTTAGAGAAAAGCCATGCCTGTGAAATGTGAGTTCTGTGACAAGATATTTTCATTCAGAAGCGTTTTGGTAAAGCATGAAAGAAAACACACTGGAGACAAACCTTATGAATGTGATGTTTGCAACAAGATATTTTCTCAAATAAGCAATTTAAGGACACATAAAAGAAATATACATACTGGAGACAAGCCTTATGGATGTGATGTTTGCAACAAGGGATTTCCAGATCCAAGTAATTTAGCGAGACATGAAAGAACACACACTGGAGACAGACCTTATGAATGTGATGTTTGCAACAAAAGATTTGCTCGATTCTATACTTTAAGGAAACATAGAAAAACACACACTGGAGACAAACCTTACGAATGTGATATTTGCAACAAAAGATTTGCTCGAATGTTTACTTTGAGGACACATAGAAGAACACATACTGGAGACAAACCTTATGAATGTGATGTTTGCAACAAGAGATTTACTCAAATGCATAATTTAAGGACACATAAAAGGATACATACGTCTGGAGACACGCCTTATGAATGTGCTGTTTGCAACAAGAGATTTTCAGATACAAGTATTTTAGTGAGACATGAAAGAACACACACTGGAGACAAACCTTATGAATGTGATATTTGCAACAAGAGATTTACTCAAATGCATACTTTAAGGACACATAGAAGAACACATACTGGAGACAAACCTTATGAATGTGATGTTTGCAACAAGAGATTTCCAGATCCAAGTAATTTAGCGAGACATGAAAGAACACACACTGGAGACAAACCTTATGAATGTAATGTTTGCAACAAGAGATTTCCAGATCCAAGTAATTTAGCGAGACATGAAAGAACACATACTGGAGACAAACCTTATGAATGTGATGTTTGCAACAAGAGATTTCCAGATCCAAGTAATTTAGCGAGACATGAAAGAACACACACTGGAGACAAACCTTATGAATGTAATGTTTGCAACAAGAGATTTCCAGATCCAAGTAATTTAGCGAGACATGAAAGAACACATACTGGAGACAAACCTTATGAATGTGATGTTTGCAACAAGAGATTTCCAGATCCAAGTAATTTAGCGAGACATGAAAGAACACACACTGGAGACAAACCTTATGAATGTAATGTTTGCAACAAGAGATTTCCAGATCCAAGTAATTTAGCGAGACATGAAAGAACACATACTGGAGACAAACCTTATGAATGTGATGTTTGCAACAAGAGATTTCCAGATCCAAGTAATTTAGCGAGACATGAAAGAACACACACTGGAGACAAACCTTATGAATGTAATGTTTGCAACAAGAGATTTCCAGATCCAAGTAATTTAGCGAGACATGAAAGAACACATACTGGAGACAAACCTTATGAATGTGATGTTTGCAACAAGAGATTTCCAGATCCAAGTAATTTAGCGAGACATGAAAGAACACACACTGGAGACAAACCTTATGAATG